CCTGGCTGGCAGCCGCCCACACCACCCAGGTGGGATCCCCCCAGGCTTTTTGGATAGAAGCCAAGACTTCAGGTTAGATGGGGGGGGGGTGAGAAGCATCTCAGCTGGGCACTGGATTGCACCCCTTCTTCCCTGCATGAATTCCAGCCCCAGACCTGTGCTTGCCCTTCCAAGGCATCTCAGAGGCTGCCATGCTGGGGCCTGCAGACTGCAAGGGCTGGTGCAGATGGGGCAGCAGGAAGAGGACTCCTACTTTGTGGCAGCACTGGCATTGGGAGCAGTTCTGGGTTAATGTCAGGTGCCACATCCCCTTCCCATCCCTGTCCTGACTCACTGGGGTTGGCACCTCCTTCGCCCTCACCTTCCTGGCGGTGTTCCCCATCCTGCAGGGCCACTGCTGAGCCCAAACTTCCTTGGAGGGCAGAATGCCCGGCTGCTGCCAGAACGGAGCCACTGGGCTGCAGCAGCTTCTGGGCAGAAATGGCCTGGGGTGGGACAAGCAGAAGCCTAGAGTCACTGACAACCAAGTGGTAGGGAGGTCACGAGGAGGCACTGGCTGGAGCCTGCTGAGGAAGGTGGCGGTCAGAGGGTGGATGAAACGGCCCTTCCTCCTTCCCACACGGGAAACTACCGGTGGTGGGCGAAAACGGCAGGGCCCTGCTGCCCGGGCTGGCCAAAACCAGCGTGGAGGAGGTAGAAGAGGCTCAGGGTGGATGAGCTGCCGGGCAGCTTAGATTCCCTCCCAGTGACTGCCCCTGCGCGTGAGCCTCCACCATTCCTTGATCTTCCTGTGTGTTCAGTTAGAGGCTTTCTCTCCCCCTGCAGGGTCCGCTCATCCATCTGGCCATCCTGCAGCGCCCTCTGCTGTCACCCCATAGGGCTGGGCTGCAAGATCCGCAGCGGGCTCAGGCCGAGCTCAGGGAGAAGGGTGGGCATTTCCATGGCACTGCAGCCGATGCCCGACAGTCCCGCTGTCCCTTCCAGCTTGCCTACGGCCCGGTCATCTGAGAGACTCCATGTTTTATTCAGAAACTACAATCTTGCCGTTTGGTGACCCCTCCCCTGGGCACCGGCTGCGAGCAGACCCCGCACATCTTTGCAGAAGCCTGGTCCCTGGGCCCGACACGGTTCTTCTCCCCTCCCAGGCCAGGCCGCTCCCTAGGCTGGAGCGTGGCGATGAGGAGGGGGCCTCGGCAGCTCGTAGCTGAGAACTCTCATACCCTTTGCTGAGCTCCTGTGAAAGTCCCTGGAACAGGCCATAGACTGCCGTGAGTCCCTTTCCCCCAACCAGCATACTCTCCTTTTTGGATCATGCTGTTTGGAATGTGACCCTTAAAAGTCCATGTGTAGGAAACTTAGTCCCCAAAGTCATTTGTTAATGGCATTTGGAGGCGCAAACCTTGTCAGGTGATAAGGATTGCATGAGGTCAGGAGGGTGTTGTGGCTTTATGACAAGAAGGGACCTGGGCTCGAATCTGGAAGGTTCTCACCAGATGCTGAGTGTAGCACCACAGCCTTGGACATCCCAGCAGCCAGCACGACTGAGCCCAGGAGCACCTACCTCTGAGCTGAACCCCCATTCCCAATCATTTCTATTTTATTTTGAGACAGGGTCTAGCTAAATTGGCCCGGCTGGGCTTGAACTTGTGATTGTCCTCGATCAGCTTCTGGAGTAGCTGAGACCACAGCTTGTGCATCACACCCAGGAGACCGCCCTCCTTGATAAATGACCTGTGTTTTGTTATAACAGAAAGTGGACTGAGTCAGACCAAGAGAAAAGAGGCAGGGGAGAGAGCAGAATCCTCCTCAAGGGGGAGGATCAAGTGAAAGAAGGCAGAAGGGCAGAGGCCACACCTTGTGGGGAGCATGGTCCAAAAAGGAGAGTATGCTGGTTGTTACTCATCTGAAAGAAGAAAAGATAGAAGTTGGGGTGAGCACCAGGCTGCGAGAGTATGCAGGAAGCTGTGTAGACCTGGTCAACCAACAGGGAGAAGTGTAACTGAGGGTGGAAGCAACAAAGTGAACCAAAGAATTCTGGGAAAGAGGGTAAGAGCGCCAGCCGGAGAATAACTAAGATAGGTACTCGGGAAGGGCCTGGAAGCTTAAACTGGTTAAAGAAGCACAGTCTGTAGTTCCACTTGCTCAGGAGGCCGAGCCAGGAGGATCACTAAGCCCGGGGGTCTGAGGCCAGCCTGGGCAACACAGTGAGAGCCTGTCTCTGAAGGAAGGGAGAGAGAGAGAGAGAGAGAGAGAGAGAGAGAGAGAGAGAGAGAGAGAGAGAGAGAGACTATGTAATGCCAGCACTTCTGGAGGCTGAGGCAGGAGGACCACAAGTTCAAGCTCAGATCGGGCAACTTAGCGGCTTAGTGAGACCCTGTCTGAAAATAAAAAAAAAAAAAATGGGGCTAGGGATGTAACCTAGTTTTCAATTCCCAGTTCTGCAAAAAGAAACAAGAGAAAGACAGAGAGAGAAACAGAGACACACAGAGAGAGAGAGAGAGAGAGAGAGAGAGAGAGAGAGAGAGAGAGAGAGAGAGAGACATAGAGACAGAGAGAATCTCAGAATGAAAATTGAAAAGACTGTCTTTGAATCTTGCCACAACCACAACAACCAGGGAGAAGAGAACGGTGGGGGATGTTCCATTCAAAGCTACAAAAAGTTCCTTTCACCAAAGACTGGATTTGCTGCCAAACTAACATTTCAACTTACCCACGATGCAATGGGCTGAATTATGTCTTCCAAATTCATATGTTGAAGATCTAACCGCTAGTACCTCAAAATGCCATTGTCTTTGGTCATAGTCTTTAGGTTAGAATGAGGCTGTCTGGGTGGCACCCATCCAGAGTGACTGGTGGCGTTCCAAAGAGAGAGTAGGAGGCACTGAGAGATACCAGGAAGGAGACAGCAGGCAGCTGGTCATGGGCAAGCTGAGGAGAGAGGCCTCACCGGGGGGCCGACCTGCTGACACTGGGTTCTGGGACTTGGGCCTCCAGAGTCATGAGAAATACATTTCTGTCATTTAAGCCAACAGCCTGTGGTATTTTTTATGAAAGCTTTAGAAAATGAATATACAGAGAGTCTGAAAAGCGATTTGCCAACCAACTGCCAAACCAGCAAAGCCATCCATAGGCTTGTGAAGAACGAGACCCCTATGCCCAGGAGCTGTCCTCAGTGTTAACAAAAGGTCAAGGGCAAAGCAAGAGCAGCAGACAAATCAGGGACTGGGAGAGAGAACCTTCGGACTTCCAGACGGATGTACATTAGGTAGGATATTTCAGCAGATGTGGGGTGGGGGCTAGGAGGGAGAGGGAAGGAAGGAGGAATGGAAACTGTTAACAGTCTTTCCTGCCCTCTAGAAGCCCAGTGAGGGCTTAATAAAAAAAATGCACAAAGGAAGCAATAGCAGATTAAAATATGTTTAAATGACTTGCTTATCAAAGTGATAATGTCTGCATTTATAAAAAGGGAATGTTACCTAATGCATTCTGTTTAATTTATTTATTTTTAGTTGATCCTATCTGGTTTTCTTTCTTCAATAATTTATTTTAAAGACTATAACAAAAACAAATAGCAAAGACAAAGATAGAAACAGAGTGACCTACAACAATACATACAGTATAGAATTTCGAAACAAGAATAGGAAATTAACAGTGGTTGTCAGATTATTTTTATCATCATCAAACCTGTTGCTCAGATTAACAGATATGGGTGGTCAAATAATGAAACATTAGCGCTTGCTTTCAGTAAACCTTAATTTTTTTTAGTAACTCAAAAGCCCATCAGCTGAGAAATGGATAAAGAAGATGTGGTATTTTTATACAGTGGAGTATTACTCAACTATAAAGAGCGACAAACTTGAGGCCTTTATAGGTAAATGGATACAACTAGAGGCTTTACTCATAAGTGGTATAAATTAGACCTGCGTGTATAAATATTTATTTATTTTTGAAGCGGAGTTTTGCTACATTGCTCAGACTGGTCTTGCACTCTTGGGCCCAAGCAAGCCTCACATCTCAGCCGCCCAAGTACCTGGGACTGTACCACGTCACAGAGCAAGTGATCTACTAGATGGGAAGTACGCTCGTAGTCCCTCATGTTGGATGAGCCCAGGACTGGAGAGCTGTACGTAGTGCAAAGCATTCCGAGAGCACCAGGACCCAAGTGCACCTAAGATTGCTTTTTGGAGATTTTTGGAGCCAGGAATTGCCTGGATATCCAGCTCTGGGGAGAAATAGGTAAGGGGGAAAGCCAGGGCATTCATTCTGCACCGGGTGTGTCCCTGGCACACACCAGCTCTTTTGTCTGTGATACCAGGTGGTGGGTGGGTGGTTGGGGGCAGGCCTTGGCCTCCTCTTCAGGGAAAAGGTCAGCTCAGCCTGACCGGGAAGCAGAAAGGGGCCCCAGCTCCTGCGGCTAGTTGTTTACCCAAGGCTGGAGCAGGTGGGAGTTCCATCTGCTAGGCCCTAGCAGCTGCCTCCCCAAGGCTGGAGCTGAGAGGAGACGCTGGGGAGGGGCCCAGCAGAGCCGCTCCCACCTTCCCTCCAGCCCCTCATTTAGCCCTGTGGGAAGGAAGAGAACTTCCTGCTGGGGGATGGACTTAGAGGGCTCCTGGGAGGGTTGGTGTCTGGGGCCCCTGAGCGAAATCCTCCCTCTCAGCTGAGAGGCTGCATCCTTTGTCCTCAGTGACCTGCAGCCCTGAAGCCTGTTGTGGCCCCCAGACCTGTACTGGCTCCAGGCAGGAAGTGATGCAAAATCAGACCAAGATGTCTGAAACCTAGGGAATTATGTCTCCCTAGGATGGGTGAGGCAGGTTGGGGGTGGGCTGTGTGTCCTAAGGCCACACCCTGTGGCACACCCTCTAAGCTCCCCCCTCCCGTTGCTAGGGCAAATATACTTGGCTTGTGAAGGCCACAGAAGGCTCGCAAACAGCTTTCTTTACAAACCCCAGGACTGCTGCTGAAAGCCAGAGAAACTGATAATTCAGAGAATGAGAGGAAGGTGCCAGGAGAGGAGCTGGGCTGAAGATGGTGTCTGTCCATCACTTTATTCATTCATTCATTCATCATTCATTCATTCATTCATTCAGCCAACCAACATTAGCCCTGATCCTGTGTCAGCGAATGCCCCTCACAGAATGCCCACAGCAGTGGCTGGCTACCACCAGCTTATGCCTGCAGCACCCTGTCCTTTTCCCAGGAAGTGGAAAGAGCCGGTGAAAATAACCTAAGAGCTGACTGAGTTCTCTCTACCTGGGAGCCAGCCCTGAAGGAGGAGCCTCTCCCCTGGCCAAGATTACAAAGTCAGGGACTGATAATTTACGGAGCACGATCACAAGGGCCTGAGGACATGTGGCCCTAGGCCCCCCAAACTCCCTGGCTGGGCCCCTCCTCTACAGTTCTGCCCCTCTGGAGAGTTCTAAGGGCTTCAGCAGCACAGGGTTTACCACTGTCCCTTCCAGCCGTGACCTCAGGGTGCAGGGCAGGGGCATGCTGTGGATCACCTGCTGGACAGTGGCCCGGAAAGTCTTGCTGACCAAGCAGTAGAGGCTGAAGTTGACCACGGTGTTGAGCATGGCCACCATGTTGGCCACATCCAAGGCCAGGTGCACCCTCCAGTCCCGGTGGACCGGGGCCACGTACAGGTGGTAGAGCATGACAAAGATCCGCGGGGCCCAAAGGAGGGTGAAGAGTGAGGTGACACACAGGAGGACGGCTGTGCTCTTACCCACCCGAGGCTGCAGCCCGCTCCAGCCCTTCTTTCGTAGTCGGAAGATGATGGCTGAGTTGGTGACCAGGAAGATGCCACAAGGGATGAAGTAGACGATGAGGCAGTGCGCCCACTTGAGGACCTCGTCCAACACGCTGGGCAGGTCTGCATCCCTCCACACATCCAGCCACCAATAGAAAGGGACACCGGTCAGCAGAGCCACGCTGAGGACAGCAGCAATGGCCTGGCGGGTCTGGCCAGGGGACGAGGTGGCCCGGTGGTGCAGAGGGTGGCACAGGGCTTTGTAGCGGTCAACTGTGAGTAGGACGGCGATCCACACGGAGGCGTGGTTGGCAGCAAACTCTAGGACGTTGGCTGTGCGCACCACAGCCTGGGGGACCTGTCGGGCCAGCACGGCACCCTGCAGGAGGAAGCCCATGAACACGATGACCACCTGGATGACGATGTCCGAGACCGTGAGCGCCAGAAGGTAGTAGTAGGAGGGCTTCCTGGTCCTGGTGGCAAGACGGGCCAGGGCCACTGTGCTCAGGAGGTTGACTGATGGCGACCGAGGGCCCAGAGAGAGAACAGAGGCATTAGCAGGGACCCTCAGAGTCTGCCTTCTGAGGTGCTTTATTGTCCCTCCTTACCCGCCAGTGCTGGCTTCTCCTGCCCCTGTCCAGATCTTTCTTAAAATGCCCCTTGCACTTAAAACAAAACAAAACATTGAAATCACCCCCTGTGCCTCAGCTAAGCAGCTCAGTATTAACCTTCCTGTCCAATTCCCCGGCCATGGCCTACCTGTCCCCTCCAGGTCATTGTCAGGTGCTCTGTGTCCTCCAGGAGAGGCTTCCCTGAACATAGGCACTGGTTTATCTGCTAGGCTTGGGGAGATGCCCACAGTAGGCCCAGCTAGCCTTTCCTTTGTTGTTCGAGACAGGATCTTGCTATGCAGTCCAGGATGGCCTCAACTCAAGGCAATCCTCCTACCTCTTCCCGCTGGGTGCTGGGATTTCAGGCATGTGCCACTGTACCCCTGCTGGCCCTGAACTTTCACTCTCTTCTACTTTTCATTGCCCAGTGATCCAGAATGCCTCGTAAGGCCAAAAGGGGAGCTGGAGTCTATGATCCTGGGCCCCAGGGGCCAGCATAGAGGATGGGCATCCACTGAAGGAGGACCCTAACTTCTAGCCAAGCCTGAAACCCCAGAGCTCAGCTCCCTACTCACCAGGCAGCCCCACGCTCAGCAGGACACTGTAGTAGATGACAGGGATGATACCAACCACACACGGTGACCTCTCTGACCAGGGGCTTTCGAACCCCTCGCCCAGCCAGCTTGCATTGGGTGTGGGCGGCAGGGTCACGGGTGGCTGGCCAGCTAGGAAGGGCAGAAGGACAGGGTTAGAGCAGGCATCCTCTCTCCAGCTGGGCTCACGGCAGCCCCTGCTGAGCAGGCCTGGTTGTGGGTGCCCTGGACCCAAGGTCTTTCTGCTCAGCTGCCCTAGGAGACCCAGCCCTATGGCAACTTTGTTGAGTGAAAGTTCCACCCCACCCCACTTTATGTGGCCCCCTCCCCGAATGATGGGAAGAAGCCCTTGGTGGTGGGGACTGAGTTCCTCCCTGGGATCTGCATCCTCCTGTGCCTTTAAGAACTGCACCGGGCCACTCTGGCCCACGGAGGCTCCCAGCAGCTGCACAGCCCTGCTCAGCAGCTGTCTACGCTTGCTCAGGAGTGACAGTCACTAGGTTCCCCTCTTTTCCAAGCCAAAGAGTGTCCCTTCCCTGGGCAGCACTGCTGAAGCCGGTGTGGGCCTCACTTTCCTTCTGGATGGGGAAACTGAGTCCCCAGAGGTAAGGAGACATAGTTGGTTGGGGCCAGTGTAGGATGAGGGCAGGACTCTCCACCGGCACTGGCCTCTGCTTTCCTCAAACTGTTTTAAGTCTGTTTAGGTCTTAACTTCTAGCTTCTCATTTCCTGCTGAAGATGGGGCTGAGGCCCCCAGCTCAATAAACCTCATTATCCTCTCGCACAGCCCACTCACTGGTCATCAGCTCTAGCCTCCAGGTCTCTCACCTGTGTCCTGCAGCACCACCACTCCCCATTTCAAGATACTTTACCTGCATCAAGCCCAGTGCTTCTGGGCCCTGAGCCCCAGGTCACCAGTGGCTTTTCCTGGGGGTCTCCACAGCCTTCTCCCAGCATCTTCAGCTGTCCCCCTCACCCTGCTCTCCAAGCAGTTGTCTGCCCCACAGTTCTTCCAGCAGCACTGAGCACTTTAGTGCAGAGAGTGGGGGTGGGGAGGAGGGAGGAGGAAGGAGAGGGTGGGGCGAAGATTCCAGGGAATGAGACTTAGTGGGTTCCCCCAGACCAAGGTGGGGGCAGAGGTGGGCTGAGTGGGACCTTTGATGGAGAAAGACTGGGGCTGGGGCAGGGTTGAAGGTTCTGTGTCCAGGGAAGGGGCAGAGAAGAGGCAGGAAGGCAGAATCTGAGTCCAGGGCACCTGCACCCTGGCCTGCTCAGCAAGGGTGGCCACACCCTGGGGGTAGGCCTGCGGGGACAGCAGGAGGATTCAGGGAGCCGACTCTATGGGCACAGACCCTCTGGTGGGAAGGGAGGACACTTGTGCCCAAGAGCTGGGGTGTGGTGCCAGGTGGGGAAGGCGAGGCTGCCCCTTTTGGGCAGGGTTCAGATTCCTTAATACCTCCTGAGGGGTCAGGTCCAAAGGGATGACACCTGCCCAGGTCACTGAGAGGGAGATGAGCCTAAGGCTACTCCAAGTGACTGCTGACCAGGAAGATGGCAGGAGGCCCTGGTGCACTGGTGCGGACACTGTCCCCTCCCACACTGGAAAAGCCTGGCCAGGCTGCTGGTGACCCTGGGAAACCAGGACCTCTGGCCCCACAAGCTGTTGTTTTCCTGGCCATGCTGAAATAGAGCACCCCTCAGGAACAGCAGTCCCTGGCAAACACCAGCTGGTGCCGGCAGAACTCTGAGGAGGCAGGAATCTGCACCTAGCAGCGCCCCTCACCTGCGGGAAGCGTGACCAGTGCAGCCCACCGGGCCATCAGGACATGGGCGGCCTGGGGATCAGAACAGAGGCCCAGCCTGGAGCCACTGCCAAAGCCTAGCCCTGGGAATATAGTGTGTTCCCTGGCACCTAAATTAGACATGTGTTCAGAGGATCAGGGGTAGAGCTCAGTGGTACAGCACCTGCCTGGAAAGCACAAGGTCCTGAGTTCAATTCCCAGCACCAAAGTAAAATAAAGTGAGTCTGGGGAAGGAGATAACCTACTTTGAGCCCAACCCCCACCTTGGCACCTATAGTCAGGGGCTTGCTGCCATATGCAGGTCCTCCCGGCTTCCCAGGGTCCCTCTGGCTTGGGCCAGGCCCCAGGGCAGCACAGTGGGACAGGGCAGGCACTAGCTCCTCAGGACAGGGCCCCCAAAGGTGTGTTGGACCCCAGCCCCAGGAAGCACAGATAGCAGACAACTGCCCAGGCTGCTAGTTCCCTGAACCCTGAGGCTAGGAGTAGATCTGAGGCACAGCCCCCTTTAGGAGTCGGAAAGACCCCGTGTGTGAAGCAGGCAGGGCTCCCTGCCATACCTACACTTTGCTTTGAGGAATGTGTGTCTTACTGAAAAGCCTAAATCCCCTCCAGACAGAGCACGTGGCCTCCGGTCAAGGCTTTCCTGACCTATGCGGACTACTGAGGCTTGTGTGGAAAGGTGGGGGACAGGACAGGGTGGAAGAGGGGTGCTCGGTTTACCTCTGTATGCACACCTTCGGCCAGCCTTGTGGCTCTGCCCCAGGTGCACCCCTGCATAGCCCTGTGCTGGGAGTGGGTCAGAGGCACCCGCTGGAATCCTGATGGTCCCTTCAGAGGTGCTACTTCCCACATGGCCCAGGAGGACCTCAGTGACCTGGCGCAGCTGAGACAAGGACTGTGCACAGGAAGTGCCTCTGAGGCCAGGGCACAGTGCTGTCCTGTGGGGTGCACGGCCCCTAAATCCTCCACATCCTGTGGGCAACAGTGTAACAGGTCAGTAGTGTTGGGCTCCATGACGTGAGAGCCAGGGTCTGAGCATCCACAACTCGGTAGATGCCAGTGCTGTGACGGAATGAACAGGGCAGCGACAGCATCTGAGTGGACACAGGTGACAGCAAGAGCGAGGCTGTCATCACTGGGCAGCCAGCCAGCCTGTCCAGGGACCCTGGTTGGGGGAGGGGTGGTTCTCAGTGGCAAGAGTGGGCCAGTGAGACAGAGACCTCTGAGCCAGCCTGGGTGGAGCCAAAGGTGTGATCAACAGCAGCATGGAGCTGGGAATGGTGGCACACGCCTGTGATGCCAGCACCCGGGAGCCTGAGGCAGCGCCCTGCAGGCTACGCAGGGCTACGCAGGGCTATGCAGGGCTACGCAGCTTGAGGTCAGCCTGAATTGCAGTGAGACTGCCTTAAAAGGGAGGGGGAAAAATTAAAGTTAAAAAAACAAAAAACAGGCACACATCTTGACCTGGGGATTGAATCCAGGACCTTCACACTAAGCTACATCCCCTGCCCTTTTAAAATTTTTGTTTGTTTTGAGACAGGGTGTCATTAAGTAGCTTAGGCTGGCCTTGAACTTCCTACGTAGTCCAGGTTGCTCTTGAACCCAGGGCTATCCTCCTGCATCAGCCTCTGCGCACTGGGATTACAGCTGTGTACCGCTCCTCTGCTAGCCACAGGTCTCATCCAGCCTGAGCCTCTGAGCAGCGGCACTAGAGGGTCCCTTCATCCGCTTGTCCCTCCAATTTCCATCTTCAAGGCAGCCTCACAAGCCAATCCTTGTTACTCCCATTTTAATCAAACAAGCCCAAGCCTCAGAGAGATGAATTGAAGCAGCTGGAGTCCCAGAGCCGGCCTGTGGCAGCTGGAATTGGAACTCAGCTCCGCCCTCCACCTCCCTCAGGCTGCTCCCGTTCATACCCTCCCCGTGTTCTCCTTGGAAGGGAGAGGCTACCAGAGCTCAGCTATGTGGAGGAGACCGTGGGTCATGTGGGCAGAGCTTTGAGTGGGCCTGAGGGCTCCGACAGTGTACTAACCACAAGTCCCTCTTCCCAAAGCAGTGTCCAGGTTGCTCGCTGGAGCCTTTGCCCCAGAGAGGAGATCTCACGTGTCTAAGGAGGTTGCCAGGTCAGAGCAGGGCTGGCCTGAGGCCCACCCTTTTGCAGGCCTCCAGGTACTTAGGGTCCCGTCACCTCCCTGTCAATTCAGAAGCTCCTCCTCGTGCCCCAAGCCTGGAGGAGACTCTGATTGCATCTACAGCACTCAAGATACTCTGCCAGTGGACAAGAGATCATTGATGGGGACTGAGGCAGCTTCCCGGAAGAGCCCACATGGGGTTCTAGGGAGCCCGGTGCAGCAGTACTTGGTGACACCTGGGCCCTGGCTCTGCAAGCTCCTGCTGTGCTCAGACAAGGTGCTTAGGTGAGATGCTGGTGTCACAGGTGGCCACGTGCCTCTCGAGAACTGCTCCTCTGTGTGAATGCTCCAGGCTGACTCTCAAGGGATGACAGAGCCTCTGACATAGGGCAAAGAGAACACAGTGCTGTAGATTTAATACCTCACAAGCTGAATGCCCTGCTGCCCGTCTCCTGCCCTAAGACAGACTGACAGATGGACAGATGGACAGACAGACACACACACACACACACACACACATATACACACACCCCACTGCTGCAGTTTGGGGGTTCTGCAAGAACTGTACAGGACACATAATTTACAGCATTATTTTATATTGGTCACCCAAAGAATCATATGCAAAAAAAAGTGCAGGAAATCTGTCCACACACTAAAGACCAAAGAATCCAGCTGAGGGCCTGGACCTCACAGTAAATGTCCTGCATGAGTCCAGCTGAAGACCTGGCATCCATCACAGTGCCTCCCACGAGTCCAGCTGGAGGCCTGGGGCCCATGACAATACCTCATGCAGGCCTGTCTCATGGATCTGCACTGGGAAGGCCCCAAGGTCAGTGGCAGAAGCGAGGAAGTCTGCGTTCTCGGGATGAAGGAGCTGTGGTAGAGGCTGAGGGATCCACACTGGAGCCAGGAAGAGACTCAAAGCAGGAAACAGAGCTCCCCCGAAAAGTGCCGCAGCCATCCTCAGCAACAGTGAGGTCCTGAGCTCCTCCAACCATGAGGACAGCAGAGCTGCCACCAGGAAAGCCAACGTGACCAGCTTCTCTGTGAGACTGAGCAGGGCACCACCTTCCACTCCAGAGCCAGGAAGCCCTGCTCAGAGTGAGGACCAGAGCTCCCCAGTGTGAACTGCAGTGTTCTGAGGGACAGCAAGGCCCCGAGCTCCTTTGCTGATGAGAACAGCTTCTCAGCATGACAAGCTCCCCCAGGAAGACCAGCAGCTCCCTACAGCCTCCCTAACAGCTTCCGACAGCCCCTCCTCTTCTTCCTCTTCTGTTCTGCCTCTTACCCTACTGGCAACAATCCTCACGTAGGCCTCCTCCAATCAGCACCACACTGGCTCATTTCTGTTGTGTGTCACAAGCTCAGCACCAGTTGTCAACTCACCCTACACACACACACACACACACACACACACACACCATGCACATGCATACAACACAGCAACCTTTGGACTAAGAAATGACAATATGGCATCTTTATTTGAAAAGACAACTCTACAGCATTGGACTGGGGGCAGGGAGGAGAGGCTAGAAATACTTGGGGGGTGGCTCAGGGAGATGAGGGGTCAGAGGTGATCCTCCTGGGTCTCCCTGGCAACCCTCAGCCTCCCAGCCCCTTTCATACGTTCAACTCCACCCATTTAAGTCTAGCAGGTGGTTCTTAGCCTGGAGTGACCATAACAATTTTCTGGGGGTGCCTGGAAAATACAGATGGGTAGGCTCACCCACGGGAATCTGGTTCCCTGGTGGAGCATGGAGATTCCAGCGCAGGAGGGCCAGGCTTCCAGAGAGACCGCAACAGACGCTGGAGGAGGCTGGTGTGAAGGAGTGTGTGGGTGCAATTTAGGGCGGCATGTCTCCCAAAGGGGCACGTGTGCGAGGCTTGGTCTCTAGCTGTTGCACTGTTGGAAAGTAGTAGAAACTGGGAGGTGGGCCTAGGTAGAGGAAGTAGGGCACACAGGGTGCTCTGAAAGAGGGCATTGGGGCCCTGGCATGCTCTCTCTCTCTCTCTCTCTCTCTCTCTCTCTCTCTCTCTCTCTCTCTCTCTCTCTCTCTCTGTGTGTTTTGCAGTTGCCAAGAGGTGAGCAGCTTTTTTCTGTATTAGTTAACTTTTTGTTGCTGTAACCAAATACTTGAGAAAGACAATTTATAGAGAAAAAAGGTTCTTTTGACTCACATATTCAGAGATTGCAGCCCATGCTTGCTGGGCTCCAAGCAGAAACATCAGTTGGCAGTTAGGAGGCAAAGAGAGGAAAAATGCCAGAAAAAGGGGCAGGAGAAGGTGATGTGTCCTCCCCAGCCGTGGCCCAGTGACCACCTCGACCAGTTAGGTCCCACCTCCCAATAGGTCCATTAAACCATGAACTCATCAGCCCATTAATCGGCTCAATGAAGTGAAAGCCTTTGCAGTCATTCAGTTCTTCAAGTCCCATGAGCTGCTAGCAAAGCCCTTAAAACAGTGAGATTTTAGGGGTGTATTTTTTGAAACAAGGTCTCACCATGTAGTCCAGGCTAGCTTTAAACTCACTCTGTAACCCAGGCTGGCCTCAAATTCATAGTGATCTTCCTGCCTCAGCCTCCTGAGTGCTGGAATTACAGGCACACACACTACCACACCCAGCTTAGGGGTGCATTCTGAGTGCCTAATCCTCTGCTATTTGTTGTCCCATAATGAACTGCTCTACCTACTACAGGCTCAAAGCCATAGGGTGAAGTAACTGTGGACCAAAATTCCTGAAACCTTGAGTCAAACCTTTTCTTCATTTAAAGTGTCTGCCTCAGGCATTTTGTCATAGTGACAGAAAGCTAACACAGGCCTACAGAATGGCAGTGTGCTGAGCAGTGGGTTCTCAAATAGGTAACATCGCTATTGACAAGCATGCATAGATGCTAGGAAGTCCCCAGGAGCCCAGGCTGCTCTGGGGTATGGTGGCTCTGACTTACTGAGGTGAGTGAGGAAACAGTACAGTCCCCAGGAAGGGTAGCCAGGCAGCCAGTGGCCAGGGGATGGTGGGCCTGGATGAGGGGACCAGGGGTGAGCGTTAGGGCAACTGGGAGGGGTTTCTCCTGGGCCGAGCAGTTCTGCCTCTGCCAACCCAGATGAGGCTCCTGCCAGATCCAATTTTTGCTCTGTGGTTCCAGAGAGGGGATGGAGCTGTTGGGTCTCTGTGCAACAGCCAGGGGCAGAAATCAATAGATGGAGCTGGGCTCTGGGATCCAGAGAGCAAGAGTAGGGAAGTTCCAACCCATTCCCAATCCAGAGCTCAGAGCCAGGTCTCCTGGGAGCTGTCCGCCTCAGCTCATCAATCCCATCAGAGTCCTTCCCTTGAGGAGCTGAGGCAGGTGCAGAAGCAAGGCCTGTCCAGCACCACATACCTCTCTCTGTCTCTCTCTGTCTCTCTCTGTCTCTCTGTCTCTCTGTCTCTGTCTCTCTCTGTCTCTATCTCTCTGTCTCTCTGCCTATCTCTCTGTCTCTGTGGGTCTGTCTGTCTGTCTGTCTGTCTGTCTGTCTGTCTGTCTCTCTCTCTCTCTCTCTCTCTTTCTCTCTGCTCTAACTTTGCCCTTCTTTCTCTACATCTTTGTTTTCAGAAATGCTCTCTTCTGTACCAGGACGTGGAGACTGTCTCCTAGCTATCTGCCTCAGTTGCCCTACAGGTAGAATGGGGTTCCAGGTTTGCTACGTCTCCTTAGAACTTTATTTTATTTTTTTCATGTATTTAGTACGGGGTCTGCAGGGTCTCACTATGTAGCTCAGACTCATAGGGATTCTCCTGTTTTTAGCCTCCCAGGTACTGGGATTACATGCGCATGCCACCATGCCCAGTCTTATTCACAGTCTCAGTTTACCCTGGGGGTAGGGCTGGCACAGTTCACTGGAGACTGAACCCATTCCCTGCACTTGCCTAAGCAGGCGCTTTAGTCTGCTGAACTATCTGGCCAGCCCCTTAGAACTTTAGAAAGTAGAACTTAGTTGGAAATTAGAAGCAGGTAAGGCAGCCTTCCTCGCAGGGGAACCTGCAGCCATTGGTCACAGCCAAATTAACAGAAGGAAGTAGCGGAGAAGATGGGTACCAAGCCTCAGACTCAGGTCTGTGTGCTGGCTGGCTGGGTAGGGGGACAGGCTGCCTACTGGGACCTGCCTGCTGGAAGGCAGCCAGGCCTGTCCAGGCAAGGTGCTCCCCATGGGACACAAAAGGCTGCATCTGCTGTTTGCCCAGCCCTGCTGTGTGCCCCCCAGGGAGGGGGATCAGCACAGGTCCTGGGGTACTTTCCCAAAGAAATCACCCTCTGCAGAGCATGCCAGGAACCTTCTTCAAGAAGGCCATGAACATGATCCAGTCCCCATGGACCCCTTTTCCGAACCCCTGTCCTCCTCTTGGGAGAGCTGATCCTCCCCAAAATGGGAGTGGGGGAGGGGTGGGAGCCTGAGTGGCCTCTTCTCTCTCTTCTTGCAGGCTCTTCCTTTGCAGCTGGCTCACCATGGTGCTCCAGCCACGATGCTGCCAAGTGTACTCTGTGCCAAGGCAGAGATTGGGGCTGGGGTTGGGGGAGGGGCTGGGGAGCCCTAGTGTGGGTGTCTGACAAGTGGCCCTGAAGCTCCTTGCCCTTTGGGGAACCTAAAACTTCCCAGGGGAGGACCAGCTAGCCCTGCTGAGTTGCAAGGAGCAGTGGGGGAGGAGGGTGCCGGATCTGTTCCCCTTGGGGGCCCAGGACAACACAATAGTCCTTGGGGCTGCCACTCTCTGGCTTAAGTGGTTGCCCAGGCAACAGCAGGGGCCATTTTCCACCAATCCATGGCAGAGGCTGGATGGGGGAGGGAGGCCTGGCAGGAAGGGGGATCCGTCCCCTGTGTGAGACCCTATATAAGGAGGAGGGATGTGTTCTGAGTGGTCTGGCCGTCACTGTCCCTCCAGTGGACTTGGGGTGGAGCATGAAGATGCTTAGGCTAGGCCATGGCAAGCCTGGGTCCTGGGGCGGCTTCTGGGCCATCCTGGCCCTGGTGGGCCTGGTCACTCGTGCAGGTGAGCACGCAGTGGGCATGGTGAGGGTGCAGGGAAGGGAGGGGGTGTGGGGCAAGCCGGGACCTCTCGGCCCTCATGTATATAGCCAGCCCGGAAGGGGGTGTGCAGCAGCTCGGGACAGCGCCACACGGCTCCACAGACGCATCTCCCAGAAGGAAGGAGGAGAGCGGCCTGCCTTGGTGAGGAGGAGAGATGGGGCAGTGGCAGAAATCTTAGGGATGAGCAGATCATCAGATTTCCATTGTCCCAGGCAGAGGCTGAACAGGGACGCTGGCCATCAGCATTCAGGCCTTTCAAAGTGACAGCTGGGGAGGTGGGGCCGGGAAATCCACCCTTCACCTCTCCCTCTCCCTTTCTCCCGGGGTCTTCCTCTCACAGATGCTCGCATCCTGTGGGCCATCTCCCCCCCCCCCGCCCCACACCAGGGCCTGTGTGTGCATGTGTGAATGCGCACTTGAGTGTGGCCAGCACCCATCTGCCGCTGTCAGGCACGTCTCTGTTCCTTCCACAAAGCTCTTCACTCTGCTCACAGCTCAGGGGAGCCACCAGCAGCGTACTCCCCGAGTTTTCTGTGACCAACATGTACCCACTGAAGCCTGAGAACAGCCCTGCAACATATACCCACCTGCAGGGCAGTACCCAGGTCCCCAGAGGGTCCCACTCCTGGTCTAGTTTGGCCTGTGAACCTCCCATGGTCCCCCGCCATCTCACAGATCCAGGCCCCCCAACAGGGCAGGATGGGCCTGGAAGTCAGCTTCTGCTCCCCTCCTGTCCCCCGGCCTCCATTTAACTCTTCTCCCACCCACTGCTGTAGATGAACTCTCTCAGGCCTGGTCCTCCTTCTCCTACATAGGTTTACTCCCTGGCTGCCTTCTTTAGAACTAGGATGTTTATGCTTTTGTGAGGGTAAGGACTTGGTTTATATTGCCAAATTCCGGGCTCTTAGGAGAGTTTGTGGGGTACAATAGGCACTCAGGATTTGTTAATGCATGTGCCACTTGTGACAACTCCTCCGAGGGGTTCCGTGGACGATGGCTAAGGAAGCAAGAGGGAGTGGATCTGAAAATGTCCTCAAGCCTGGTCTGGCTGGGGTGGTGCTAAGGTGGTCTGGCTTTATGGACACCCATGCGCAGATACCAGAGCTGGTCGCTGCTCCCTCACCCCTCCCAAGAGGGTGCTCTCTTTCCTGCTCCCAAGAGCACCCTGTTGGCTCTGCATTGGTACATCCTGTGCACCCCAAATATGCCCATGGGCACCCCCACATCCATGTACCACGTGGACACACACAGATGTGCACACCTGGCTCCTTTGTGGGCCCTTATGCCCTCCCCCCATGCACTTGTCTCCAGCTGGTTCCTCTGCACCCCTAAACCGAGAGGCCCCAGGCCCAGATGACCTCTGAGCTGTGCTCTGTCCCTTCTGCTGCAGCGCAGAGAGCCGACATGGGTGGGGAGGCCGCGGGCACCTCCATTAACCACTCCCAGATGCTACTCCACCGCCTGCAGGAGCTGCTGCGGCAGGGCAACGCCAGCGACGTGGTCCTGCGAGTGCAGGCTACAGGCACCGACGAGGTCCGAGTCTTCCACAGCCACCGCCTGCTGCTGGGACTGCACAGCAAGCTGTTCCGGGAGCTGCTGAGCAACCAGAGTGAGGTGGTGCTGCAGGAGCCCCGGGACTGTGCTGCCGTCTTCGACAAGTTTGTCAGGTAGGAAGGGAAAGGGCCGAGGGCACTTCACCCCTTCCCCAGGCCCTGGCTCTCCACCTGCAAGGTCCCAGTAGCCTGGCCATTAGTACCGTAATGTCTGTTCACCCATGTCACCAGGACAGCAGTGTCCCACCATCCCCTTCATCCCTTCCCCACTGTTTTTTGATACGTGGCTCCCTGCCTTTGGCTGTATGCTCTGGATGGCTGGAGGTTGCTTCCCCACGATGGTGGGCCTCTCCAGACCCTCTCAAACCTGATCGGTGGAGCTTTTAGAAACTGCAGATTCCAGGGCCCCACTCTGGATGGTCGATTTCCAGTCTAGGCTTGGTACCAACAGTTACTTTTTTTATTTTAAAGCGTCTATGTGGTTCTGATGTCTGCCCAAGTTTGGAACCACAGGGTAAGGGAGCTGAAAGTTAGCCAGCTCCCCACCCCTCACCATTTCATTCCAGCCTAAGAAAGTAAGTCTTGGGCCGGGGAGATGGCTCAGTAGGATAAGCGCTTGACTGGCAAACGCAAGGATCTGAGTTCAATCCCCGGTTCTGCAAAAAAAAAAAGAAAAAAAAAAAAGAAAGTAAGTCTGGTCTAACAGCTTTGACAAGGCAGCAACAGAGCTTAACACATAAATTCCAGGTGACAGGAAGAGAAACAAAATAGAAGGAATGCTTTGTGCCAGCAGGACTGGCGGGAGGGGTAGGGGAGGCTTAGAAGAGAGCGCGCTGACCCCTACCAAATGAAAAGCAAAAGACAGGGAGAAAGATGAGGTGCAAACAAGGGAAAGGGCCCCATGTGACCACCAGCATTGAAGCAAGATTCTTTACTCTGTTCCCATTGTGACAATAACTCTGTGGGGTGTTCTCCTTTTTCTTTTCTTTATCTTTCATTCTTTCTTTCTTTCTTGTTTGTTTGTTTTGTTTCGGCACTCTCTTTTCTTAGATGAGTAGCTTCAGGTGATCCTACTTAAACTTGCTCAGTTTCCTAGAAAAATACATGGCAGGAGGAGGCTCTGAACCCAGACTGTAAATTCCACAGTGGCAGGAGCTCTCTCTCTTTGTTCTGGCCTACAGCTAGGCACCTACTAGATGCTCCTTAAATCTACGTGATTTCTACTTCATTACCGGAAACCCAAAGAAGTCAGGAAGTGTCCAAAGATCAGAAGTCATAGCGCCAGGCGGGATGGGCTGACCTGACATCTCCCTCAACTCTGCTTCTCTGGCAGGTACCTGTACTGCGGCGAGCTGACTGTGCTGTTGGCCCAGGCTATCCCGTTGCACCGGCTGGCCATCAAGTACGGCGTGGCCCCCCTGCAGCGCGGTGTCGCCGACTACATGCGTGCGCACCTGGCTGGTGGTGCAGGGCCGGCCGTGGGCTGGTACCATTACGCTGTGAGCACCGGGGACGAGGCCCTGCGCGAGAGCTGCCTGCAGTTCCTGGCTTGGAACTTGTCCGCCGTGGCGAGTAGCGCCGAGTGGAGCGCCGTGAGCCCGGAGCTGCTGGCGCAGCTGCTGCAGCGCTCAGACCTGGTGCTGCAGGATGAGCTGGAGCTCTTTCACGCGCTGGAGGCGTGGCTGGGCCGCGCTGGGCCGTCGACCGCGGTGGCTGAGCGAGCGCTGCGCGCTATCCGTTACCCAATGATCCCACCTGCACAGCTGTTCCAGCTGCAGGCGCGCTCTGCCACCCTGGCGCGCCACGGCCCGGCAGTGGCCGACCTCTTGCTGCAGGCCTACCAGTTCCACGCCGCCTCACCACTGCACTACGCCAAGTTCTTCGATGTCAACGGCAGCGCTTTCTTGCCCCGCAACTACCTCGCGCCCTCCTGGGGCACTCCTTGGGTCATCAACAACCCAGCCCGCGATGACCGCAGCACCAGCTTTCAGACGCAGTTGGGCCCGAGTGGTCACGACGCGGGCCGCAGGGTCACGTGGAACGTGCTCTTCTCACCACGCTGGCTGCCCATCAGCCTGCGGCCAGTCTACGCCGACGCCGCTGGCACCGCGCTGCCCGCCGCACGCCCGGAGGATGGGCGGCCGCGGCTAGTGGTTACACCGGCCAGCAGCGGCGGTGACGCGGCAGGCGTGAGCTTCCAGAAGACGGTGCTGGTGGGAGCTCGCCAGCAAGGCCGGCTTTTAGTCCGCCACGCCTACAGTTTCCACCAGAGCAGCGAGGAGGTTGGCGACTTCCTGGCACACGCGGACCTGCAGCGGCGCAACTCGGAGTACCTGGTGGAGAACGCGCTGCACCTGCACCTCATCGTCAAGCCCGTCTACCACACCCTCATCCGGACCCCCAAGTAGATCAGGAAATAAAAGGCCTGGCCCATGTGGTACCAGGGACCGGGAAGGGTGAGGTGCAAGCGCAGGGGACTGTCAGGCTGATCCCTGGGTGGCCAGGAGCTGGCTGGTTGGGGCTGGGGTGGGTTCTAGGTGAGTGGCAGTAGACCAGATGCCTGGGTTTGGAGCTCATTCCATAACCAACTTGGAGGCAGCATTCTTAACTCTGAATAAACAGATGCACAGAGAGGTGAAGGGATAAATAAACCACCAGCCCCCAGAAAGGAGGACCCAGGGAGATCCCACAAGTCTGGGGGTTCCCTGACCTTCATTGAGTTTTTCTCTGAAAGCCCCCACCCCACTTGGAACAGGAGAGGTAAAAGCAAATGGTCAGGGGCCTGCCAACTGGGACACTGGAGTACCTACCTTGACAGGAGTTTTCTCACCTGGCAGCTGGTCAGTTTTTGAGCCCAGATCTGCAGGGCCCAGCTACCTTCCCTACATTGGGAGGCTTTCTGTGTGTGTCACCCCATAGCCCTGGCCTCTCTCCTAGGAAGGGCTTTGGCAAGGGTGATGGTTGCTGGGATAAGGGCATAAACTGGACCTTGCTCTGTCCCTGCCCTTCTTGAGCAGGGGCCTTGGATCTGGAGGAGAACCCCTTTCCCACACCACGGGGAGAGCAGGGTATTGTGCGTGGAGGAGGAAGGGAGCTGCTTGAATCTTAGTCATAGCCATTGTCCCACCTTCAGATGAGGTCTGGTTGTCAACACCACCATGAAAACACAAATAGGATTTTATTATTAAAAAGGAAGAAGGAAAGTGAGAGCCAGATTCCCTCCCTAGCCCACCCCATTCTACCTATCCCATCCCACCGGACCCCACCCTACATGAAGGCCCATCAGCCACCTCTCAAGTGATCTGCCATGCCCTTGCCCAGGCATGCGCCCAGGACCACAGTCTTGTTCACAGCTCCATGTCCCGCTGCCATGGCTGACACTGGCCACAGTTCTGTGCAGGGTTTTGGCAATAATGTTGCATCCAGGTTGGGAGGCTGTGCCTCTTGGGCTTATCCCCTTTTTCCTGACAATAAAAGCATGGAGGGCTTGGGCAGACACCCCCACAGTTTCAGGGTCTCAGGAGCCCTGGTGTTCTGAGCTCCTATTTCCCTATGATTCCCCCATCTTCCCATCTTCTGTTTCCCATTCTTAGCTACACCCCATTCAGTCTCGGGCAGAGTAGCTGGTTCCAGGCAGGGCCCTTCAATTGTGCCGGAAGGGCCCATTTTTGCAATGGGGGTTTGATCCGTGAGGTGGGCGAGGCTTATGAGCGGGCCGTCGAGAAGCACCAGTGGTGCTAGAGGTAACCATCAAAGATAAGGCATCTCCAGAGCCTGCAAGAAGGAAAGAGCCAAAATCAGTGGCTTGAACTCCCTAGGGGCACAGCCCCAAGTTGCCAGTCCCTTGAATATGCTGAGAATCCTGCTCCCATCACTGGGCAGGTACAGGGGCAGTGGCTGGCCAAGGCTTCCCCTTCCCGCCCTTGTTAGTACTGACCAGTACCTTCACTCTGAGGAAGCTTCACTTTAGCAAGAGGTAGCAAGACTTTTCCCAGATGCCGGTTACCAGGTCCTAGCTGATCGCAGGCTGGCGTGTTGTCAGCTGAGGTGCTCTCTTGGGTGTGGGGGACGTGTGTCTTGGGGCGGGAGAGCTGTGTTGGTTGGAGAACAGCGAGTGAGGTGAAGCCGAGAGCTGTGTAGGCCGCTGACCAGCTGTGGTGGCAGCCTGGGGATGCAGGCCTCCAGGTGCAGGGCAGCACTGGGGGCACCCTAGGGCTTCCAGAGGAACTCAGCCTCGGACCCAACCCACCTCTCCCCTGTCATTTGCCTCACCGCTGGCCCTGCGACCTCACGGGACTTCTGCTGCTTCTTCTTTGCCTCCAGCGACTCCTCTCTTTTCTTATCTTTGCCTTTCTTTTGGCTGTCTAGCCAGGGTCCAGGGGCATCATCTTGCCGCATTATTGCCCTGGAGGGCAGATCTCCCACGCTGCTAGACATATCTTCGCTGGCTGCATGCTGCAGCACAGGGCTCTGTGGCCCAGTATCATCAGCTTCGCTCAATGAATGTAAGGACAGGCTGCTGTGCTCCCCATCGGGTGCCAGCAGGTGGCGCCCCTCCCTGGCCAGGGCCTGTGAGCGGCGCTGGGCAGCCTTCGCCGCAATGGACGTGGTGCTGGCCGGGAGCTCCTTCCCCTCTGCAAAGGATACAGGAGTCCCGACCCAGGATCAAGGTCACCTCCCAGCACCTTCCTCTGCCCTGGCAGAAATGAGCAGCAGCCAGGATTCCCTTCACCCCGGCACCTGAATTACTTGGTTTTTAAAGAACTTGGGACACACTGAGTTTTACTTCTCTCTGTGAAGGAGGGATAGCAAGACTAACCCCATAGGTTACTAAGACGATGCGCTTAGCCTACCTTATCCAGGCAACAGAGATTCGATTGGAGCTATTACAGTTGTTATTGAGTGGAGGGCGTGTGATCCTAGGTGCCAGGTGTCCCCATTCTACTTTCTGATTCTCTTTCCACCTCTCCATTGTCCTTCAGCAGGTGACTAACACCCCGGGGACACTGGTGACTACAGTCACCAGTCAATGGCAGCACCCAATGCATAGCACATTCAGCAGGTCAGAAGGGAGGGCAGGCCCTTGGGCAGGGTGTTCTGAGCAGTTAGATGACACCGAGACAGGGGCATACATACCTTTCTTTAACAAAGCAACTTCCGATACATGTTCGCTGCTGTCAGGGGAAGAGTTGACCTGGAAGCCCAGGCTATCTGAAGGTGGGACCTGGAGTGAAGTGGTTGGGAAGAGAAAGTTTTGAACACAGCAAGGCCCTCACGTCTCATTTGGCAGAGGTAGTGGGCCTCAGGATTGGGTGGCCATTTTGGAAAGACTGTACCCCAACTGTTAGGTGTCTACCTTTACGTACCCACCCCCAGCAGCGCCCCCAGTGGGTGCCTGGAGCTCACCTCTTGGGTCACCAGGTTTCCAGCCAAGATGGGAGGTATGGTGGCCATGGAAGGGCTCTTTTCCAGCCAGGCCCGGGGTCTGGCCTTGGATCCAAGGTGGGCTTTAGTGCCAATGGCCGAGGAAGACGCATGGCTGTTGGCCAGGCTGGTGATTCTCAGCTCTGCCCCCCTACAGGAGAAGTGGTTGGTGTAAAGGGAAAAAGAACCCAGGACTTCTGGCTCTAGATTTCCCTTTTATTCAGCCTCCATGTTCCCTGTTGACCTTTGATCGGGTTGCACCACCCTCTATCCCTGACAGGGTACAGAAGGCAACTAAAGGCAGTGGCACCTCTCCAAGGTGATGGGGGGTAAGGTGGTGTTTTTCAGGCGTCGAGCTTCACGATGTGCTGTGCTAACACGCTCTGGGTCAGAGTCCACAGCCATTGTAGTTTCTGGTGCAGTAATCTGGGGCAGAAAACTCTCCTACGGAGGGGAAAATGAGTGTGGACAATCAGAAGACCTGGCCCTGGACCAGGTGACAGCAGGGTGTGATAAAAGCACACAGAGTAGCAAGGGCTGTCACATGGGCTGGAAGCCCTGAAGGGCAGTGGGCTTGAGTCTTAAATCCCCAGGAAGAAGTTTTGGTTGCCTAATGCCTTGGTCTCCCAGTAGGTCATGTGTGGCCATTTGTGAGATGTCAGATGGCCAGTCCTGACCATCAGATCCTGGGTGAGGACAAAGGCCACTGAGGAATTCCTAGGTATAATGACCTTACTCAGGCTTGCTAGGCATGGGACAGGGTGAGAAGGAAAGGACACCAACTTCCTGGAGTGCCAGCAAGCTAGCATCCCATGGTAGATGGAAGACCCTCCCTGGTATACTGCATACATACAGGGCTCCCCCAGGCCCACCTTGGGGGCTCTGGGAGCCTTTTGGCCCATGACAGTGGGCTCCTCCGGGCCAGTGGTCTGCTCCTGGCCATCCTTTTCCAGCTGTGTCATGTAAACTTCATAGAGATTCTCTATGTACTGGGGGACCGGTATCTTGTAATCTGTGGAGAAAGGGGCAGGGCTCAGCATGGACCCACCGGCCCTTTTGAGCAGCTTGGTCGAGGGGGGCACAAGCCCTACCATCAATGATCTGCTTCTGGGCCTGGATGATCTTGTCGCAGATGCCAAGCAGCCCTTGTGAGTGCACCTCGGTGTTCTCCATCTCAAGCGCATGTACGCAGCACAGCAAACTGAGCACCTCACGCAGCTTTTCAGAGCCGGTAAGCCGCAGCACCTTTTCCTCCAGGCCCCGGCAACGTGTGCGTAGCTCCTGCTGGCAGCGCTGCTGCAGTACCAGCTGAGGAGGATGCTGGGTCAGCCCTAGGCAGTACCCACCTGCCCTGCCTGTCCTCAGCTGTCCAGCCCCCAGGCTCCCCGTGTCCGGCAGACACTCCATGCCAACCCTCGAGTCTGATCTTGGACCTGGTAACCAGAGCCTCTTCCAAAGTGGTTTCTCTTTGTCCACTTTCCTGCCTCCCTACCACTCACCCTCCGCTAGAGTCAGCTCTATAGATGTCTGCTCAACTCCAGCCCTGAGACACCTCCAGGGCTCACAATACTCTGAAGTCTTTCTGGTTTGAGTGTCTCAAAGTGGGGAAAGATCTACTATCCAGAAAGCCTTATCATGGTAGCTACCATATTTTGAACCCTTGGCGTGTTCCAGACATTAATTTAATCTCCCCAAAGACCCTATGAGGGCTGCACTGTGACCACTCTCACTTTATAGTTGAACAATGAGAGGCACAGAGAAGTTAAGGAACCTAGCAAGGTCATCCAGGGTGGGCAGCCTGAACTCCCGTTCACCCTCCTTCTCTGGCCCCCAGTTGCTCGGCCACTCCTCCCCCATGCCCTCCAAGCCCTGGACACCTTTTCCTTCTGCAACTTCTTCCACTCGTCCAACAGGGCAGTGACTTTCTCCCTGGCTGAGGCCACCTCGTGGGGCATTAGGTCATCCACCGCGTCACTGCCTGTGTCTGAGTCTTTCTCACTATCATCCTTAGTGTAGGACTCCATCTTCCGTGCCTCTCGCCGTTTGAGGATTTTTCGGGATTTCTTATGCTTCCTTCTGCCCCACCCCATGGAGATACGAGATTGAGGCCATGGACAAAAGGCACCCACATCTCCCAGCTTTTGTGTTCTGGGCCCGTGTGAGGCATAGAGGGGAGGGGGGCAGTGCATACCCCGAAATGGCGAGCAAGTGGCAGGTCGCCTCCATCTCGACCTCGATCTCCACGGCCCGTTTATCCACCTCCAAGAGGCGCCTGCGCACTTCCGTTTGCTCCTGAAGAGCTCTGGTGAGCTGTGCGTGCAGCGTCCTCATTTCTGCCTGCTCACCCTGATGTTGCACTTCGGCTGCAGGGGTGTGGGATGGTGGCAAGGGGTGAGAGGAGTGGGAGTAGGGAAAGGAGGGTAGATGAGGGGCAGGCTCAGGCTGAGAATTCTAGGTCTATCTGGGACCGTTCCCCATCTTTCTTCTTAGATCACTGTATCCACTTCCTGTCTAAACACTTTCTCCAAAAAGACCTCCTCCCATCCCCACCCCTCAAGGGTGTCCCAAGGATGTACCCCAAAGGTGTTACCAGGTCCTCCAGAGGACTCAGATTCCCCTCACCCTTACAGCAGCCCTTGGTGTCAACCCTAAAAAGCTGGTGGTCCCAGTGTTCTACCAGGCAGCCCCCAGTGTGTAATTTTCACAGCTAAATGTATGTAAAACATGACCCCACCCAACTGACACCTCCCCAGGGCCGAGATCAGGATTCTGTTTTCCAAGAGTAGGTTGGGAGGCTCAGAGCCACTGAGTGACTAGCCCAAGGCCATCCAGTCCAAGAGAGCCTGTGTCAGCGCTACCTGTCCCCACTCACACACCTTGGATGTATTGGATGTCGCCCCACTCCAGCTGGCCTGGGGCTGGGCCCCACCCAGCTGGTCGGTTGACCCTGCCCTTGAGTTGCTGGATTTCACTCCGCAGGTCCTCGATGATACTTGTATACTGGGCGATGTGATAAGAAACGTTCAGCAAATTCTGCTTCACCTGCAGGGAGAACAGCAGGAGCGAGGCTTACCTCCAGACACTCCTGTGAGGTCTTCCTTTGTCCTTCCCTTCTTTCTCTTCCAGTCCTTCTGATGACAGACATGGCCTCAGTGTCTCCAACTCCACCTCTTCCTATCCCATCTACCATGTCCCTTCTAGATCTGTACTCCTAAAGCACTGTGTCTTCCCATTAACCTTCAGGGGCTTCCTACTGCCTAGATGGGATGTCTACGGCCTTTACCTGGTGTTAAACACTCACCGGTCTCTGATGTATCCTGAGTCACGGCTCCTAAACAATTATTCCGCTCTGTAGTCAAGAAACACTCCTACTCTCCTCAAGTCTACCAACGACTATAACTCTGTCTCACCTTCGGAACGTTACCAACTCTCCACCTTCTAGAATATTCTCTGTTTACATCATAGTACCACTCAGTCTCCCCCACCCCCATCTTTACTGGAACCACCTACCTAGCAACTGTCTCTACTGTCAACAAACTGGTAAACGCTATGTCTCCTCTCCCTCATGAACTTCCTAGGGAGTCAAATATAACTTGAAGCACTCAGTCTTAAAGAGACTTTATACTAGATGTCAGAGTGCCTCCACGTTCACCAGAGAAGTAGGAACATGAACTTGGAAAACAGGCAGGCCCACTTCCAGTCTCTAAGCCATCACTGACCAGCTGGGAAATCACTTACCATCCTTAGGCTTTACTGCCTAAACTGTATCATGGGGAAACAATAAGACTGGCCTTGTTTTGAAATCAGATGAGATAAATCTCAGAGAGCTTAAAGTAGGTGCTCAACAAGGGCTGCCTCTTATGACCGCTATGAGGAGGGGCTTTGAACATGCAGAGGTCCAAATGAACCTCTGAAGAGGAAGGGACGCTGAAGGGGCAGGGAAAGTGCTTGGGGGTGAGAATGGGGAGGGTAGAAGGGAACAGCCCAGGAGCTTGAATCTGGACCCTGGAAAGTATGCCCAGAGGGACAGCCCATGTGGCCGCACCCTTGTCTTAATGTTCTTGGCCCGGCCGGCATAGTTCAGGGTGTTCCGGGACTCCTCAAAAGCTGTGCTTGCTGGGCTGATATGGGCGATCATCACTGTGCGGCTGTTTCCCCCCAGTGAGTCCTGGGCAGAGAGAGATAAGGAACGTGTTCAGCTGAGATGGCCTCCTGACCCTGCACACACACACACACACCCCACATTGCGAATGGCATGGGAAGGAAGCCTCAGCCAGCCAGGAGGCCTGGAAGCTGCTTTAGAGTATGGCCATCATCTTCCTCCTGCCTGCGTGTCTCTGGCTTCCGGATGCAGCCACAGTGGCAGACTGACCCAGGCGTGTAAGCTGCTGTCATGACATTCGACTGAGGTTGTGAGCCTATTTCCGATGTTGCCAGCTTGAGCCTTCAGGAAAATTCCTTAACCTCCTTGTGCAAGTTCCTCCTCTACAGATCGAGCTCCCCTAACTTGCAGTCACTGACAAGACTAAAGGGCAAGGGGGAGGGATGGCAGAGTAGTAAGTGATAACCCAGCCTCTCTGAGATCCAGAATCCAGGCACTGGGAAGTGACTTAGAGAAGAAAAAAAGATAACTAGATCACTGGGAACCTGGAAGGGTCTGACAGGAAACCTAAAAAGCTACAGAGAAAGTGAAGAGACAGAACACGACATAGAGAAGGGGAAGGGCAGTGTGTGCTTTCTCCCCAGCTCCCAGAGACCATGGCTTGCAGGAAAGGGAGATCAAGTCTACACAAAGCAAAAGCCAGAGACTTCAAAGGGCTTCAGGGAGAAGTGCGAAGGTGGAGCAGACCAGTGGGTGCTGTGGGCTGTGGGTAGTGTGTAGGACTCCACTCCCACGTGAGGCCTTTGACTGCCAATGGCTGATAAATGACTCCAGTCCAGGTGCCTGCTGTATCCCTGGAGAGGGCGCTTGGTTGGGTATCATTCCAGGAAAGGGTTGATTGCTTTAACCCGGGACTTCACCTTAGGTCTCATCCTGTTACATTCCCACAGGGACTGGCTGAGAGGCAGCCATGGTTGGGAAGCAGGCTGGAAAGAACCCCCTTGTAGGCTTGGAGGTAAAGGACCTAGGCCTTGTTCCCATGGCCAGGGAGGCCAGGCTCAGCCTGCGTTTGGAAAAGCATTGCACTGGCCCCCTCACCTTAATCCTACTTACTGGCTGCTAGTGTCTGCACCAAGCACAGAGCTGGTGGTCTGGCCATCTCCTTTAACCTACCAGGGCCACATCTTGACTTGGACGCTGCCCCAAAATGGTAGATGCCAGAAGCAAGCCTCACATTTAGCAATAACAGAATTTTTTTTATATGTGCATTGTTTTTTGTTTTCTTTTTTCTTTTTCCTTCTTTCCTTTCCTCCTCATCAGTTTATTGAATTTGGGAGGTTTCCTTTCTTCTTATCTTTTTTTTTCTTTATTTATTTCCTCTTCTCCCTTTTAATTTTTTTCACTTTAATATTTCTTTTATTTTTTTACTCCCATATAATGTCTTCTTCCTTCTGTCTTTGTCTTTTATCTTTTGGCAGTTTTAATTTACTTATTTATTTATTTTTGTATCTTTACCTAACTCTATAAACGCCCTTGTGCTCCCCAATAGGATCCCTTGTACCACTTCTCCTTCTCGTAGTGTATAGTTTAAGGCTTCAAAATTTTCCTTCTGCATTTCCCAGTTCCCAACCCCTAATATCTTTAATTGTATAGACATATATCTTTATTAATCTTTAGATTGTTAACTATAAAATGACTGTTAAATTCTTTTCTGCCATTAGCAGGGCTATAGCTGTGACATTTAGTGTATAGTAGCTACAAGTCAATGCCCGGCTTTTCTTAATGCTTCTATCATAATTGTGGGTTTCTTCTCTAGGGTCAAGGGAAGTACGTAATTGATTCTTAAAATTTTTTTTTAAATTTATTTAT